TAAATATTCCTTTGAAAGACTGTTTGCCAGGCCTTGCTAAATGTGAATGAGAGGAATTCACATTCGTCTAATAAAAGGGATTTTGTCGGGAGCGGGACTCTGCCTCGTGCTTTTTGGGGAAGCCTAGGTCAGAACAATATCCTCCTGCATAAAAATGCAGGGTAAGACTAGCAGTATTTCTGATATATATATATATTGCAAATAAATAACTCTCATTCTCCACCTCCAATCTCTCGTTGTGTCAGGGAACATCCTGCTTTTGAATAACGATGTTCTTCAGAGACTAGAGACACTCCTAAACCAGGGCTGCCAAGGGGCAAATTGGACAGAATTGGCCAAGAAATTAGGTCTTGGCAGTTTAGTGGAGATGTACAAAGACACCGTTTCCCCCAGCAGAAGACTTCTACTCAGCTATGAGGTCAGTCATCATCCTCTCACACATTCCTCTGTCATCCCATTCTTGAGTTTCCCTTTAATGTTAAGACAAGGATGATTTAGGGACACGATGGCTCAGTGGCTAAGATGCTGAACTTGTCGATCAGAAAGGTTGGTGGTTCTAATCCCTAGCGTCACGTAATGGAGTGAGCTCCCGTTACTTGTCCCAGTTTCTGCCAAACCTAGCAGTTCGAAAGCATGTAAAAAATGCAAATAGAAAAATAGGGGCCACCTTTGGTGGGAAGGTAACAGCATTCCCTGCTCCTTCGGCATTTAGTCACACCGGCCACATGACCATGGAGATGTCTTCAGACAGTGCTTGCTCTTTGGCTTTGAAATGGAGGTGAGCACCGCCCCCTAGAGTCAGGAACAACTAGCACATATGTGCCAGGGGAACCTTTACCTTTACCTAATGATGATTTAATAGCTGACCAGCTGCTATAAGGCTGTAAACTGAGATGATGCAATGAGAATGAGTCAGTGGGGTTATCACTTTAAGAGGCTGTCTATATAAGAGAGGCCCTGTGAAGGCGGTTTCTCTCTCCATGTGTGCTTCCATGTTATAGTTGAAGATTGATAGATTGCCTTGTGTATGCCTTGTAGATAAACCACTGTTTGAAAGACAAAACCTCTGTGCACTGTATTTTGCTCCCGGGTTGTCTCAAAATAGTAGTACACTGCATATTCTGAAATTTAATTTCTCATTTTTCTCAGGTTGCAGGTGGCAGCGTTGAAGGCCTGTTGGAAGCACTTGGCTCCATGGGACTGACAGAAGGTGTGAGTTTACTACAGAGATTAGAGCCTTTTGACAAGCTACAGAGTGCAGGTAACAATACAGAGTACACGTAAGGCCGCAAGTGAACTGTAAAAGTAAAAGATAGTGATAACCTTTTCTCTCTACCTCAGAGCTGAAGGAAGACAGTGCTTATGGTAGTCAATCGGTGGAAGCAGAACCTGCAGCCTTATCTGGGAAATTGCAACCTGCCCCATTGCTGGAGCCACCTTCTCCCTTGCCTCACAAACAGCAGGAGCAAGTGCACTGACACGAGATGTTCACCAGGAGAAAACAAGTCTCGGTTGGTTACGCATGTGCCTCTCAAAGAGTCCAGGATGCTGTCATCAGTGAGAATTGCTGTACAGTCTGGGTCACCCCCGTTTTTCATGGCCGGTCTGCTGCCTGTATCAGCCAAAGCCCCATAAATGTGGAGAAATGTGGTTGTATAGTCCAATATCAAGCTCTGATCCGGGCCTCACATTCTAGAACAGGGGTCGGCAACCTTAAACACTCAAAAGTGCCATTTGGACCTGTTCCCCACATAAAAGAAAACACCGGGAACCACAAAACCCTTCCTGTGCCTGGCTGTATCCTGAGCGGCCACAAAACTAGCATATGTAGTTGAATTAAACATTCGGTTTTCTTCTGGAACTTTTCTTGATTTATCCATGGTTGGCCTTTTGGGGGTTAAAAAGATCAATAAATTGTGTGCCAGTGGATGTCACACGTCGGTGGCTGTGATGCATAGTTTGAGCAACAGGGAGCCACAGCAGAGGGATGAAAGAGCCGCAGGTTGCTGACCACTGTTCTAGAATGTTTTAATTATGGTTCCCCTTCCTCTTGCAGTGAGGATTTGTTTGACAATGAAAGCTGCTTGGGACAGGGGGATTAATTTGCAGAGTGGGATATTATAAATTAGTTTAACCATTCTCTTGACTACAATTTTAATAACTATTAGAACATGCCACTGTTCATGAGAATGCTTTTGTCAGCAGTGTCTGTACACCCTGCCCATTTTTTGGTCCCAGATAACTGCTTCCTTTTACATTCCTTATTCAAAGAACTTATAAAGCCCTTCATGGTATTGGATCTGAGTACTTGAGAGACCGCCTGCTGCCAATTACCTCCCACAGACCCATTAGAT